CTGGTTTGGTGGTGATGAATTCCTTTAGCTTTTTCTTGTCTGGGAAACTATATGTCCCTCAATTCTAAATGATAGCTTTGCAGGATAGAGTAATCTTGGTTGTAGGTCATTGCTTTCCATCACTTTGAATATCTCTTGCCACTCCTTTCTGGCCTGCAAAGTTTCTTTGAGAAATCAGGTCACAGTCTATGGGAACTCCCTTGTAGGTAACACTGCTTTTCTCTTGTTGCTTTTAAGATTCTCTTATTGTCTTTAATCTTTGGCATTTTGATGACGATGTGTCTTGGGTGGGCCTCTTTGGATTCATCTTGTTTGGGACTCTGTGTGCTTCCTAGACTTGTATGTCTGTTTCTTTCACCAAGTTAGGGAAGTTTTCTGTCATTATTTTTTCAAATAGGTTTTCAATTTCTCGCTCTCTTCTGGCATCCCCATGATGCTAATGTTGGTACACTTGAAGTTGTCCCAGAGGCTCCTTACACTGTCCTTATTTTTTTGGATTCTTTTTTCATTTTGCTGTTCTGGTTGGGTGTTCTTTGCTTCCTTATATTTCAATTCAATGGTTTGCTTTTTGGCCTCACCTACTCTATTATTGATTCCCTGTAAATTATTCTTTTTATTTTTTTAATTTTAATCCTCACCTGAGGATATTTTTACATTTATCTTCAGACCAAGTGGGGGGGGGAGGACATCGATGTGAGAGAGACACATCGATTGGTTGTCAGCTGCATGACCCCAACCGGGCCGGGGACGAACTACAACTGAGGTACATGCCCTTGTCTGGAATTGAACCTGGAACTCTTTGGTCCATGGGCTGATGTTCTAACCACTGAGCAAAATCAGCCAGGGCTCTGTAAATTATTCTTTATTTCAGTTAGTGGATCCTTCATTTCTGACTGGTTCTTTTTTATGTTGTTGATTTTCTCACTAAGTTCCTTGGAGTTCTCCTTAAGTTCCTTGAAGGTCTCATTAAGTTCCTTGAATGTCTCACTAAGTTCCTTGAGCATCCTTTTTTTTTTTTTTTAGATTATTTACTTATTTAATTTTTTTTTTGTTACAGATGTTTCTCCTTTTTTACCCCATTGCACCCCCTTCCCCATCCCCCCTGCTCCATCCTGTGGTTTATCTCTTCCTTGAGCATCCTTATAATCAGTGTTTTGAACTCTGCATCTGATTGATTGCTTATCTCTATTTTGTTTAGTTCTTTTTCTGGAATTTTATTCTGTTTTTTCACTTGGGTGTGTTTCTTTGTCTCCTCATTTTGGCTGCTTCCCTGTGTTTGTTTCTATGTATTAGGTAGAGTTGCTATGTCTCCTAGGCTTTGTAGGGTGGCCTATTGTTGTAGGTGTCCTGTATGACACCTACAGGACCATAGCCTCCCTGATTACCCCAGCTGGGCCCTCGAGGTGCACCCCTAGTGTGGACTGTACACCCTTCTGTTGTAATTGAGTCTTGATTGCTGTTGGCACGTCAATGAGAAGGATTTACTCAGGCATGATCAGCAGTAAGGACTGGCTTGAAGGATCAGCGGGGTTGGGCCCCAACACACAGAGCAAGACTTACTTTATCAGCACTCTGGTACCCACTGAGTTCACTCATTGAGCGTGTCACTTTTAGAGGTGGTTGGGTGGTGGTCTGAAGCTTCGGTGTGGTCTGAAGCTGCCCACTGGGTGTGCTGCTCTGGGGCAAGGTCAGCTTCTGCCTGTCTTCTACCTGGGGCCACTCAGCATAAACTTCAAAGTGATCTGCAGATGGCTGCTTCTTGTGCTGGGTTTGGATGTGCCCAGGTAGAGCCAAGTTGGGAACCAAAGCTGGTTGCTTCTAGTGCCAGGCCTGGGGCCACTTAATGAGAGGTATGGGGCTCACTGAGACCAGATGCTGCTTATTTGAGAGATTTTAGGAAGATCTGAAGCAGGATCCAAGACAGGCCAATCCTGTGGTAAAGCCACTGGAAAACAGCTTCAGTGGGCAGAAGATTGGGTGGGGCAGGGCCTCAGGGAATCACCAGGGCAGGGCAAACAGTATGAACCAGGTTGCTGGAGTCCCAGATATGGCAGCCGTCTGCTGCCTCAGGGAAGGGCTCACCAAAGGAACAGTGGCCTCCCATAGCAAGTCTGCCCAGGAGAAAGCTGCCCCTCCAAGTCTCGCCCCAATGCCAAACAACTCAGTTCCTCCCTGTATGTCTTTGGTGTCTTTCAAGTTGCCTCCCCAACACTGGAGCCCAGAAGGAGGAAGTCTGAGTAAGTCCGTGTGCGGGCCCTTTAAGAGGAACCGCCTGGGGCTCCAGCAGGCTCAGCTTCCCTCAGCTTAAGTTCCCGCTGGTTTTACAAGTGATGGGGACTTCTCTTCCTGGGACTGGAACCCTGAGTTAGGAGCCTGGTGTGGGACGGGGAACCCTCACTGCTCAAGGAGGACCTTCAAAGCTGAGGTATCCTCCTGATTTTTATCTGCCACACATGGGTGTGGGACCAGCCCCTCTGTGCCTCCACCCCTCCTACCAGTCTGGATGTGGCTGTTTTATAAATTTCGTAGTTGTAGGACTTCCATTCAACTCCATGTCAGGCAGATCTGAATGATGGTTGTGCTGTAGTTTAGTTGTAATTTGGAGAGGAGGCCATACCATGTTTATCTACGCCGCCATCTTGACCCATGCTTTTTCATTTAAACTATCTTGAATATCTTCCATGTTAAATATACAACTATATCATTATGTTTAGTGACAACATAGTGTTCCATTATGGAAATAGCATTTTATTTAATAGACCCTTATTCTTGAGTATTTTGTTTGGTTCTAGTTTGTTTGCTATTCTAAATAGTAGCATGATGAACATCCTTATACTTAGACCTTAGTATGATAGCTAAGATAAATTTCAAATGTGGAATTCATACACAAATAACATGAACCTGTTCAACCCTTTGATACCTGTCAACCCTTTATGGTGTTTATATTTTTACACAGTGAGTCTTAATGTACACACTGTTTTGTTTGATGTTTGTTTGGCCTCAGCATTGTATCATGACATTTTCTTCATTTCTGAATAGTCTTTGGTTTGGAAAGTACATTTTACATTTTTCTCTTTATTCTTCCAGCACCTTATCTAGAGTTGAGCATAACTAAATACTTCCGGGTTTGATTTCGTGAAAAACTTGCCCTAGTACACACTGATCACAGCTGAAGTTGTCTCTCTTGGCAGACCTCTCGGAACAGTTTTGAAGTCAGCACTTTGCTGCTCCGCATGAGCTCCTGCAGAAGCACTGGCCAAGAGTGTATTGGGGTTCCTGCTGCACAGGCTCAGTACTCTTATGATGCGAACATTGCCTTTTTGCATCTTTAAAAAGAGGAGATGGACCTTAAAGTCAGGCCCTCCAGGAGGACCCACCTGGTGTTTATGGTTCAGTCAGTCTGGCACTTACGCAGTTTAGAATTTTACCCGATTTTCTTTCCCTATACAGATCACAGAGGAACTCTTGTATGACCCAGGTTATCAAGGGCCTAATGCCAAAGTTATAATAAGAGAAGTAACAAGAAATGTGCAGGGATCGCTAACTCTGGGCCAGGCATGGTTTTCGACTCTTCACATGCCTTGTTCCACTTAATCCTTAAAACAACTCTGGGAGAATGGTGTAGTATTCCCACAGAAGACACAGAGAAATGAAGTGCCTTGTCCAAAGTCATGATTGGTTAGAACCTGCATCAGGCTGCAACTTATTTTTTTTTTATTTTAATTTTTTATTTTTTTAAAAATATGTTTTTATTGATTTTTTTAGAGAGAGAGAAAGAGGGTGGGAGATAGAAACATCAGTGTGAGAGGGAAACATCAATCAGCTGCCTCTTGCACGTCCCCCACTGGGGATTGAGCCTGCAACTTGGGCATGTATCCTGACCCGGAATTGAACCCTCAGTCCATGGGATGACGTTCAATCCACTGAAGCACACTGGCTGGGCTGGCTGTGACTTTTATCATTGTGCTGTGTTTCTCTTGACAAGTAAGACAGGAGTTAAATCTTTGAGCATTGGATATGTAACCTGATTTGCTTTGCAAGAAGTTTAAGAGCAAATCCTCTAGATTTTAACAAGAGAGGCCTGAAAGACCATGCATAAGAAAGAGGATGAGGTCTGGCAAAAGGTGTTCCCTACGTCTGGAAACTGTGTGGTGGAAATATCACAAATGAATAAAGGGATGTTGGAGAGGATTTCACCCATTTCAGTACATTCTAGACTCTTAGGGAGCTTTGTCCATGCCAAGATGATTTGAATGAATTTTTAAAAGATGACAGTAGAACTCTAAATGGTAATTAGTGAGCATGCCCTTGTTAGGTTAGCAGTTTGGGTTTCTGAAAGTCATTAAGAAATGGTAACCTGTACCCTGGCCTGTGTGACTCGGTTGAGTGTGTTGAGTGTTGTTCCATGCACCAAGGTGTCTCTTTCAGGGCACCTGCCCAGGTTGCAGGCTCCAACCCCAGGTTGGTGCATGCAGGAGGCAGCCCATCGATCTTTCTCTCTCCCTCTCCCTTCCTCTCTCTAAAATCAATAAAAACATGTTTAAAAAAAATGAGCCCAGCCGGTGTGGCTTACTGGTTGAGCATCTACCCATGCACCAGGTGGTCGCCAGTTCGATTCATGGTCAGGGCACATGCCCAGGTTGTGAGCCCAGTTCCTAGTGGGGGGCATGGATGAGGCAGCCAATCGATGTTCTCTCTCATCGATGTTTCTATCTCTCTCCCCCTCTCTCCCTCTATCTAAAATTAATAAAGAAAAAAACATTAAAAAAAGAAAGAAATGATAAACATGGATTTTGCTGTGGTGATTTATCAAGTAGCATCATAAACTGATATCATCTTTGCCGCCTTTTGTATAACTAGCACCCCTAGGCCATTGAGACTAAAATATGGAGCTGTCAGAAAGACTGGGTATTGTGTTTATTTCAAAAGTTCTTTGATGGCTTTTAGGGCAAAGCATGAAATGCTTCTTTTCAAGTGATTTTATTTACCTTTTTCTTTAGGATTTGGTCAACACTGGACTCAGCACTTTCTTTTTCTTTATTGCTTCGATTGTACTGGCTGCTTTAAACCACAAAACCGGAGCAGAAATTGCTGCCGTGGTAGGTGAACTCAAGTGGTTAAAACACGGGCTGATTGTGTATTTTTTGTGACTTGCTCTCCTCTGTCCCCTAATATATGTTCTACTCATTGTTCTATAGCTTTTTCTTTGCTAATGAAGTTGTTATTGGGTCAGTGAAGGTCCCAGTTCCTTCAGTGCTATGGTTCTCAAAGTGTGATTCTGGGAACAGCAGCCTCAGCATCACCCAAGAACTTGTTAGAAATGCCCTTCTCAGGCTCCCCTAGAGCTACTGAATCAGAAATATGTTTTAACCAGCCCTCCAGCTGATTCAGATGCACGCTCAGGTTTGAGAACCACTGCTTTAGTCTGTTTCCAACAGGACCCTGGATGTCTGTTGCTTTTAAGAGCCTTACCTGCCAGTGTGGGGGTCTTAATGAAGAAGGACACAGTCATGACACCATTTGGTAGTCAAGTGACATTTTTGCTCTTCCAGGTAGAATGTCATGGGGGGTGGAGTGGGAACCAGATAATGTAAGATTGTCTCTGTGCTCTGCATTTCTATATTGTCCTGTATTTATAAAGCACTTTTGTAATTAAACTAGCTGCTCTCCCAGGTGTCACTCAGTACATTCACCAGTCATTATTAAATAAGCCAAACCTGTTGCTTCTCACCCTGGAGTTGCCCAGGTGAGGGTTCAGGGACTGTGCTTTGGAGTGTCATGCCTTATGGCTTGAGTTGGGCTCACACACGAGCCCCTGATTTTCTGTGTACGTGGTTTTTTGTCTACATATATTTTCTCGTCCGGGACCAGTGACCATGAAGATACTGTAAAAGAGGCATTTTTGGAAAAAACAAAAACAAAAAACCACAAAATCCAAAATACCTTGAAAGAAACCTTAGGCTGTCTTCAGGTCAGGCAGGATTTATATGGATCACATGACTATAGGTTTGGCCATGGTCTGACAGCTAAGCATTCGATGGGATTAGGTGTTTGTGGGCACAACTGTAAACTGCTCAGGGTCCTACCCAGACAACGCGTAGATTGCTGATGTGTATGAGGACTAACCATGCCTATTTCTTGTAGATATTTGGCTTCTTGGCAACTGCAGTGTATGCGGTGAACACATTCCTGGCAGTGCAGAAATGGAGAGTCAGCATCCACCAGCAGAGCGCCAATGACTACATCCGAGCCCGCACAGAGTCCAGAGACGTGGATGGTCGACCCGAGATCCAGCGCCTGGACACATGAGGACCTGCCAGAGTCCTCCTCCCTCTCATCCTTGTGCCTAGCCTTCCAATCATGTTTTCTTTCCCTCATCAAGTCAGATTCTCATGTGATTAAGCTGAATTTTGTCCTCTTTGGTGAAAGTTCGTTTTGGGAAAGATTTATTTTTATTTTTATTTTTATTTTTATTTAAGAGTGGTCCTATTAGCAGGTATGTGAGGTGGAGAGCCCCTGTACCCAGCTATTCAAACAGAAGTGAGTGGGAGAGACCTATGGACTCTCTAGTGTTGGGTGGCCGTGAGAGAAGCCAACCTCCCTGGCTGTCATGTCCACTTCAGGTCTTCACTGTCCCTCCCTGAGCACAGGCTTCCCATCTGACTCTGAGCCACCCTGTCATGTATTTGTGAAAAGTCAAGACTTTGGATTAAATGGGGGCTGGTAGGTGGGCAGAAATCAAGGAATGAAGGTACAAGGTTAAAACAGTCCATCAGTAGTGATTCCTGGGCAGCTGCCATTGTGAGCGCCATCAGTGATAGTCTCACTGCCAGGATCCTCCCCTAGTGCTTGTTTTCCATGCCCGGGGCTTTGAGACAGCCAGCATAGGCCATGTGTGGTACTGAGGCTCTTGGTGATGGTTGTATTGGTAGAGTACTTGTCTGGGTCTGGACTTTATGGGTATGGGCAAAGCTGGTGTCCTATTGGGACAGCTCCACAGGACTGCAGACATGTGGGAGGGTCACCTTTCATATCCCACCTGCTGAGAAATCACTTGATTCTTTCTCAAATGAATCACCTCCCTGAATCCCAGATTCTCCTCCAGGAATATGGGGACCACCTTGTTTTTTGCTTTCCTAACTACCTTTAATACTTTGAGGCTAAATTTCAGATTTTCTATAATTTTACCTTCTCAGGTAAAAGGCAGGAAAGAAATTCAATCCATTTCACCAGCCAGAACACTTGCCCATTTGGACTACAGGTGGGGACGCACCTTTGTTTTAGAGATACGTGCCAATTTTAAATTACCTGAGAAGAGTTCTAAAGTGATTCTGAGTAGACTTGTTTAGGATTTGAAAATACTTGAATTTGCACCACGACATCTTTTCACTGAATTTCAGAAGGCATGAATTGTAGCTTTTTGTGCCTCAGGGTTATAACTATGAACACCGATCTTAGAAGTTTTTGGAAAGAATTCTGGGTATGTCAGGTTTTGAATTAATTTTTGATAAAGTGAAGATTATTGTGGTGAAGGAGTTAAATGAGCCCCTATGATGCTGTAGTTTTTTTTTTTTTTTTTTTTTTCCTGTTGGAGACTAATTGTATCTTTTATGGAAAAATTGTTTTAATTTGTCAGGTTTTCACTCTGAACTGTTTTTAATGTTTACAAACCTCACTCTAGCTCTAATATTTTGTGATTAGCCCTCACCAAGGAAAAACATTTACTGCTGGTCGGAAAATGAAAAAGTTTTGCAGTAACATGGAGAATCCCCAAGATCTTGTGTTAGTGAACAGTCACAGCTTAGCAGTGTACTGTGTGATAAGAGAGAATATGAATATGCCTTTGGGGTGGTGGGAGGAGAACATATGTGAGAAAGTGTCTAAGTGTGTGTGGCATTGCATTTTTCATAAAAGAGCAGCATTGGGGGATTGACCAGGTGACACTTCTAGGTTGGAGAGTCTATAGGAAATGGTACTATATACTGTCTCTAAAGGGATGAGGTTAGGGGTTAGTTCCTGAACTGAACATCTGGTACAGTCTGAGTTCTGCAGCAGTTCCTTCCCTGGGCAGTGGCCCAGGTCCTATGTATTAGCCCCCTTGTTTACTTCAGGGGCCATGGCTACTGGTGCAGACCCAGCTGGCCTGGTGGTAACTCACCTCCTACTCCCCCAGAGGGCAGCCAGGCCTGGTCACAGCTGGGTATGCTGCCTAGCGGGTCCAGTTGAGCCCTCTTTCCATGTTTGTCATGAGGCACTACAAAGCATGCTTCACAAACTTTGAAGCTATTATATGTAGTGATTTTTGAGGAGATTCTGACATCTGGATTTTATCTGTTCATTTTATATATTTATTTTGCATTTGTTGAGTGTGTATGCCTAGTCAAAATTGGGTTTATCTTCCTCTGTGAGTTCCATTTAAAAACAGGGTCACAAAGACTCAGCCTTGCATTAAATGGGGCCCACTTGGAAGGACCACCCTGTACTTAATCAGAAATCTCCTGCTGGGAATCATGTTACTTGGCCTCAATAAAAAAACCGCCTTTGAAGTGAGATTGAAGAAAAGAATATCATTCAGGCAGGATTGCTGCCTAAGTTTTCCCAAGTCACTTCAATCAGACCAGTTTATCATCTGGTGAAAAGGAGCCTGTTGGCCTCCTGAGAATGTGTTGTCAGCTGCAAGAAACGGTTCTGAAACCCATCAAAACTGTAATGCTGATAGATGATAAAAAGTGATGACACCTTGTGCCACAGAGTGACTTCGGAGTTCTTTTGCATCTTAGTGTTAGAATCTTTGGAATTATTTATGTCCCCCTAACTATTTAATATCCTTTGTGCCATGAGGCTCTCCCATGGTTTTTGTAAATATATTTCTATTTAATTAGCTCTCACTGCAACTGTAAGTGGCCAGGTAGGCTCCCTAATTGGTGATGCCCAGTCATCTATCGCATCACCTATAGCAGGGTGGTGGTGAGAAGTTATGAAAATGTGCTTGTCCAGGTGGTTTAAAGACACCTGCATTTTCTTACGTTGCCTTTGTGTACAAGACTTTTTTTTTTTTTTTTTTTGCAAATTGAAGGAAACGTATTTTTGCATTTAATAGTTCCAGTATGGCCTGATGGCCCGGCCAGTGTGCCTCAGTGGATTGAGCATCATCCCATGGACTGAGAGGTCCTGGTTTGATTCCCGGTCAGGGCACATTTTTCGGGCTCGATCCCCAGTAGGGGGTGTGCAGGAGGCAGCTGATTGATGTTTCTCACTCACATTGATGTTTCTATCTCTCTCTCCCTTCCTTTCTCTCTCAAAAAACAATAAAAAAAAAGAAATAGTTCCAGTATGGATCAATGCCGGTTTGTTTTGGGGCATTTTCAGGCTGAGACAATCTTAGTGTTTCTCAATTTTCTGGTGGGATGATAATGGCTTTCCTAGTTTGGGCCGAACTTGAAGAGGACTACAGTTGCTTTGTGCATTTGAATTCATTCCTAGAGACTGTATGGTTGGAACCGTCAAGCATTTTGTGGTTTTAGATGGGTGCAATCACTGACATCTTCAGAGAAAGTTTTTCTTGGCACTGATTTGGTGGATGTGGTATTTTTTTCTCTTATTCTCCTTTATCTTCCTTTTACACGCACAGAGCCATGCAGGGAAATACCTTCTCCTTTTTATACAGAGAGATTACAATCATGAAAGCCTGAAGACACTTGTTGGCTGCATATAAAGCTGGGGAAGGACCAAGACACTTACAGATTTAAATCTCATAAGAGAAGTTTGATTTATAGTATTTTATTTTAGATTTTTACTCTGCAGCAGTAGTCATTCAAGAGAGATTACCTTTGCCTAGAAAAAGGAAAGGATGTAGTAGCTTGCCCTGTCCCAATATTTATTTATGTCTTCCTTGGCAACTTGAACTGAGGAGCCAGCATCAGCAGAGCCCAGCCTGGCCACAGGGAAGCCAGTGAGTACTGTGCCCAGATCTGAGGGCTCAGCTGTGGGAGGTGGACAACATTCTCTGCCCTTTGGGCACCATTATTATTCCCTGGCAGGAACGCTTATGCCCATGGGTGGGTATGGAATATATCTGGCCTCCACCCTGTGTTGGAGGCTTCTGGTGAGAGCTTTGTGACTTAGTTGAAAATATTCCTACTCTTTTTTTTTTAAATCCTCACCAGAGGATATGTTTTCCATTGATTTTAGAGAGTGGAAGGGAGAGAGAGAGAAAGAGAAACATTAATCGATTGATTGCCTCTTGTATGTGTTCCGACCAGGGATTGAACCCACAATCTGTGTGTGTTCCCTGACCAAGAATCGAACCTGTAACCAGGCATGTGCCCTGACTAGGAAGCGAATTTGCTACCCATCAGTGTGTGGGACAATGCTCCAACCAACTGAGCTGTACTGGCCAGGGCCATTCCTATTTTTTTTTAAGTTTGCAGCTTCATCTACCTTTTTGAAGTTTTTTTGTGTGATTCAGACTTAGATTAAGTCATAGGTAGTTTCTGAGGACATGAAGTATTTACTCTTCTGTCGGCACGTGTATGACATTAAATAGGTAGCAAAAGGCACAAACACTTTCTAGGTTGAGGGCTGCTGTCAATTGATTCTCTCAAGCAAAATATAAAGTTTGCTTCCTGCTCTAGGAACTGCCATTAGCTTGTGAGGTCTCCAGACAGACCACTTTTTTTATTTCCTAGTGAAGTTTGCAGAACCCAGGGGTCTCTCTTCCCCAGGTCTTGCTTATTTTATCAGCACCCACTTTTAGGACCAGTGAGGCAATAGGCTGGTGAGGTGGGAGCAGGGGCAGGTCTGAGAGATGAGAGAAGGGGGCCCTGAAACCTAAACTCTCTCTGCTGTGGGACTGTTGATAACACTAGACTGGCTACTGACACAGGAAATCTTGAAAAAAATGTTCTTGGTTAACTCCCTTTCTATCCTCTTGTCTTTGGAGAAATCAGGTCTTGTGTTCTAGAATCAGCCCAAGAGCAAGAGCTGAACGTAGGGACCAGTGTGCCTTGGCACTTTGCAGGGGCTCTTGGTGTTGGGTTTGAGACCTCGCAGATCTCAGATGACTCAGATTCGGGTTTGGGTGCCACCTTAGAGCGAGACCAAACACCGCCTTGTAAACTTCCAGCTCTTTACAAAACCGTATGCTTCCTCTCTTCTCATCAGATTGTGTTGAAATAATAACTGTCTGGTTGAGAGGTAATTTGAAATATTTGAACCTTCACATTTCTTTCATTTAGAAACTGTCTCTAAAAGAAAATACCCCCAATATCTGTTAGATCTAGAATTGTCTTCTGAAAGCGAATGTTCTGTTTGATTTTTCTTCACACCAGTAACCAGTGTTTATACCCTCTTAGGCTTGAAACAGAGGAGTGGGCGCCTAATAGATTTTCCTTTCTTTGGTCTAGACTATATTCTTATTCCATTTGAATATAATTTCTCAATCTCGGGGATTTATTGTTTTCTAGTTTATCTTATTCCATAAGCATAAGAGTAAAGAAAAGTTACCCACAAGCCCACTGAGTTTGAATGAATCAGCAGCAGTTTGCCTAGAATCAAGTTTAGATTATGAATCCTTGATTAGTGCATCTTTTTCATAGGGTTACTTTGTTGTATACATTTTTAATACTAAGACTTTAATTCAGACACCCTGGAGTGGTTTGGGATGGATTACACACAAAGGCTGGGGAGACTTCATTAAGGGGTTAATAGCCTGTGCTCTAATGAGCTATGGGAACTTTTATGGTTATCATTTAGAGGAGGAAATTGTCTCAAATGATCTTTGTTGATGGGATTAGGGTGAGGCCCAGTTTCTTTTCCTAATTGTTCTCAGAGCAGAGAATGTGTGACACAACTGATTTTGATAAGGGTTTGTATGGGATTCAATAATAATCTGAAACCTAGGAGGAAGTACCTCCTTTTATCGGGAAGGCCACCCAAAGGGAAGGTCAGGAAATAAGGACTGTGTGGGGATTTGGTGCCCATACCAGGCCAGGTCTGACTGATGACTGTTTCTCTCTGTGGGCCATTTTGCTTTCCTGCCTTTTCCAGAATTGATTTAAGATTCAAGATTCTGTTCCCATCTCTGCAGAAGTAGGGAAGACAAATATTTGGGGCTTGAAGGGAGAGCTGGCTGGTCTAAGGGCTGGGGGAAGGCTGGCTCTGAGGATGGGATGCCTGGATGCCCCCTCCCACCTCGCAACTGGCCCATGCCCACAGAAGGACCACCACCTCCAACTCTTTCACCCTGTGGACCCACTTAAAAACGAGTCTTCAAATCCTGCCTCATGATGAAGTGACGTACGTGGATAAAACTAGTGCTTTTCGTAACTTGATATTTGATGCAGTTTCCTCTAAGAGAATGCTAGGGATCAAAACTATTTGTATATGTTGAAATTTGTAGGGGTTCAGAAACCCATGGCAAAAACACAACTATTTATTACAGTTATGACTGTATGTTTTTTTTCCCAAAGTAGGTAATACTGTCTTTGTATATTTTAAGACAGATAAGAATCTCTTCACCTTTGGTGCCTTCCGTGTGTCAGTCACATAAACACTCTTGTTAATCATGGAATCGAAAAAAAAGATGTACATTTAGTTAAACCAGATAACAATATTTTTGTAGCATGATTTTAGATTGTGTCCTTTTAATATTGCTTTCAGCAATGCTGGTTTTGATGTTGGCCATTTTCTCTTTAAACTTCATATGTATTTTTAAAAATACAAAAACCACCCCTGGCTGTTCCTATCTCTTCTCTGCTGCTTTCTCTCCTACATCTTGTTTCTGCTTTATTTAAATAGTCTGAGAGTAAGAGCATATTTCTATAAAATAATTCTCAGTCAGTGTAACTGCTTTGGGCATTTTTTAACCACTTGTTCAGTTGGGAGAGCCACTGCTCACCTCAAGACAGTTGAGAAGAAAGTGGCTCCACAGAAAAAGAACAACATCCTTGGTGCTCTGACTTCCCTTCTCTGAATCTAAACCAGTGGAAAGGCCCATTGTCTGGGGCTAGTGAACCAGAGGGTGTTCTCTGGCCTGGCTTTGCTGCCTGGGTCTAGGGTACCTCCGCTGGTCCTGGGCTCATCTTCCACTGGATCTGATTGGTTTGTGGACCTAGGTATGCTCTGCGGCTCTTTCTGGTTTGGGCCTAAACAAAATAGATTCCCTGCACTGAGGAGCTTGATGAAATCACTACATGATATCACCCTAGCTGCCCGTTTTTGCTTCCCCACTCCCCCTGCAGGACATGAATTCTATCTGATCAAGAAAATTTTTGAGGAAACTAGCTGAGCCATTGCAACATGAAGGAATGGATTTATTGAAATATAAAATAGCTTTTTTTGTCCTTTCTAAAGGATCAGAATATGTAATTACTGTCTAACGAAGGAAGTCAAGTCAGGTGGTATAACTCTAACATGATTACTCATTGGTAATTGGCCCAGTGGCTCTTTGGGGGAGCAATGTTCATTTAATAACTGTTACACTTTGCTTTGTAAGAGTCTATTTCCTTGAACAGTTTAGGCACAGCTGTGGGGCTTTCTGAGGTGATGCCCATTTGGTAAACTTAGTTTATGCTGTTGGCTGGTCAGAGGTCCCACCCTGGCTTCTCAAACTGACACGGGTGCTCTGGGGTGGGGACACTGGCGCTGACTGGCTCTTGTGTTTGATTTTATCCTCTTGGAGTGGTTTTGGACCCCAAAGCCTTAGCTCCTATTGGTTTGTCCCTAACAGCAGATAAAGCCTCACATTGCCCTCAATTTTCCCCATTTCTTTTGAAGGACCAATTTTTCATGGTACTTGTTCCTGATTGTTTTCATAGTGTTTAAATCTGTATTTTTGTATGTAGAGGGAAATAATTTTCTCAACACTAATCGCTAATATTGTATTAAATTGTCATGAAAGAGTTCTTGTTTAATAAATGGAAATTTAAAAATGATATTGTCTCTTTCTCTGCTTGAACTTACCCGCTGCCCCTTCAAAGGCTGTGAAACCACTTCCTGAACAGGCCCATTAGGTGGAGGTTGAACACAACCACTGTCCAAGGGATGAGACCTGTATGGTATAGGTGTTGACAGATAGCTTTGCTGGGGCTGATAAGGTAGAGCAGAAACTCCCACAATCCCCTCTCGGCCTCCGCATACTCAGCTTTCATGTGCATTTTCAGACCGTGTGTGTGAAAATTGGGACAGAATGCCTTGCTTCTTCCCATCAGCCTCAGGCAAAGTGCTGACCCAGGCTTTTCCAGGACCCATTTCTGAGGTCCCTTGTGCAACCAGTTTCCAACCACGAGAGTCCAGTGACTGGCAGCCTGAGAGATGCTTTGGGAAGTTGCCCTGATACATGAGAGGCCCTGGGCCTCCTCCTAGGGGCTGTGGTGACCTGGGCAAGTTACCGAACCTTCTGTCAGTTTCTTGGACTGTAAAACAGGATTGTGTGAGGAGTGACTAAGAGCACATGCTTGAGATACTTAGTGGGGTGTCTGGCATGGAGCAAGTGTGCATGTATTGTTGCTGAAGCCTGGAGCTGTCAGGATTCACATCGGATATGTGACCAATCTGTGTTGAAGCAGGATACTGGACAGCACTGCTCTGGGTGGTGTAAGGTTTTTTCAGACACACTCCAAGCAGGTAGTCAGTCTGGTTTAATTCATTTTGGATGTTTTTTTTCAGGGTAGGAGATTCACATGCAAGAGAAGGACAAGTTACAAATTCCCCCACATGGGTCCAGAACTCTGGCTCATTTCACAAGGCCATTTGGGTCACAGGAAATGCTATTTAAGAAGCTGCTTTTGTGTAAAAAAGTTATATAAAGTTACAAAATCCCACTGAAGATACATACACAACATAGGTCCTTAGGTAAACACAAAGGCACGTTTCACCTCTCACAAGGTGATCAGGAGACCTGCTCTGGGGTCTAGAGCACGTCGTCCTGAGCACCACAGAGCCTGTTGCCTGCTGGTGGATCCCCAGGGAAAGGGGCTTTGGCTGGGCCTGCCCAGCTACCCAGGACACTGTCCCTGCTACTTCATCATTTGGTACCCTTAATCTTTTGGACCTGGTAAGCCACTTTATGAGCTTTTCTTTGAAATGGTCTTAGACCCAGAATAGTCATGACACCTGTAGAAGACATGGTTTCCAAGGGTGTGAGGTGTCAGTTAAGGACACTGAGAAAAGGTAACGGTCAGTTTCCTCCTTGCTTAAAGAATGAAGGAAGTGATGCTCCTTGAACCAAAGAATCTTGGAAAGCTCATTCTCAACAAAGTGCCTGGCATGAGCCGGGCAGCAAATGCAGACAAATGTTGCTGGGGGGTTGGCAGTTGGCCCCTAGGAGGTTTGTCTTACTTGTCTGTCATCCCATTACCCCTACCTTAGCATGAAATATTCCTGTGATGAGGATAACAAGGCTCTATCTGCTTTGTCCCTTTGTGCTTATTTTTGACAGAGAGGTTAAAGGGCTTAAGGTCTTTGGAACAGAAATGAGAAGTGGCGGAATATTCATGATGCCCTCCTCTGCAGAGTGGTTAGATGTGCTAAGCCAAGGGGCACTGTCTTGTGTGCTGGGCTCAGAGACATCACCTTGGGGCTATGAGGAGGCTCACTCCTCTGGAGAAGTCACAGCCTTCCTCCCAACACAGCTGGTCCCCAGGCCACGCTCTGGCCAGCTGGTCAGAAGTGCAGGAGTGAAGACCTTGTGGCTCGGGTTGCCAGGGCAGGGCAGCCCTTCAGTCGGAGTCAGAGTCGGAATTCTCCTCTGAAAGGAAAGCAAAGAGGAGGCTTGGCAGGAGTTTCCTGGCTGGTGGTGCCTGGGAACCGTTTCTGGGGAGGCACAGGCAGGCCATGGGCTAGAGCCCAGAGCTCAGGGCCCTCCTGCAGCTGACAGTGCTGTTGGTGGGGTCTGCTTAGTGTGAGGGCCTGGGACCCTCCACAGGCAGCTGCTGTCACCCCCATGGTGCAGCCAAATGGAGGTGGGAGTCCAAATGCCCTTTCCTCTGGGGCTCCATGCACCCCCAGTCTCCCTGAGCTGTTCTTACCTGGGGTGTCAGGACAGTACATTTGTGCCCCAACTCTACCCCACAATTTAACAGGATAACATGGGGAAAACATTTCCAAGAAACTCAAATATACTAGAAAACCAGGAAGCCTCTTTTTGGCCATTTTATAGTCTCAGTCCCCCCAGTCCCGATCCTTATTTTATATTGTGATCAGAAATATGGTATGACTGTTGTCACAGATGGAAAAACAGCCATCCAATTTGCAGTCATTTAAAAAAAAATGAGGTAATGGCACAACAACCATTCTGAGCTGAAGGACGGCTGGAGGGACCTGCATTCTCCTAGGATATAACAAGCAGAACAAGCCTCAACTTGCCTGGGTTTGCTGGGCTCTTCCGGTAAGGATGAGAGCTTGGTTCCCTGGTCCTTAAGCAATGGGCAAGCCAGACTGCAGGGGGCGCTGGCTGGGGGCATGTGGGTTACTCTGCAGCCCAGTGGACAGTGTCCAGGAGTTGAAGTGACTGACTGGCTATCCTGGGGGCCCATCAGAGATCATTTAACTGAGATGGAGGTGCCGGGCATGCCCTCAGCTTGCCCTTCCTGGAAAGGCTGATGCCCTGAGGAGCATGGTGCTCCTCCCAGGGGACCAGCTTTATGATCAGTGCTGCATGAAAGGGATATGAGAACCAGGCTGTGAAAACACTTCCTGCCCACGGGGAGAGAGGAAATGCTCCATTAGCCTCAAACCAGCCAAGTGTCCCCAGGGGAGAGCAGGGCTCCTGCCCTGTCTTGGGGTGGTCAGCCAGGTTTTGGGTGGAAACTGGCAGTGTGGCCACCCACCTTCCTCCTTGTTGGCTGTGGTCTCGTCTGCAGAGCCCCCTTGTTTGAGGAATTTGGCCACGTCATTAAAGATCAAGTAGAAGTCAATTGCAAACACGATGGTGGCAAAGAAGCCAAACACCTGTGGGATACAGGGGACAGGGTGGATGGGATGTGTCATCAGGAGCTGAGAGTCCATGGTAAAGGAGCCTGAGAAGCAGCTGCCCCAGTCTCACCGCCTGTTTTTATCTGCTTGGATAAGCAGTTTAGATTGGCAGGCACAGGCCCCTCCCATTAATGACAAATGGGAAAATGAGCTATTAACTTCACTGGCAAACAGCCTTTCAAAGCTCAAGCAGAGTGGATCTTCAAGAAGAGGTCTTTGGGGGCCTAAGCAGGGACAGAATATGCCCCAGAGGCTAAGTGGGTGTCCCAAGAAGCATCTGAGGCTTTAAGAGGGGTGGGGTGAACTTGAAGGGGGCATCCCCAGTGGTAGGGCAGCTACTCACCCCAGCTGCTTTGGAAGCCCCATCTGAGTATTTGGCAACAGCTGTGATGGAGATGGCAAAGTAGATGAGGGCCGCTGTGACACAGCGTAGGAAGTCCTGGGGAGAGAGGAGCATGATGGTCACACTGCCCTCAGCTCCTTGGAGGGGGGCTTAGCAGGGGAGGGGGCCAGCTGGGAGCTGAGGCAGGGGAGAAGGGCTTGGAAGGGTATCAGGTGGCAGAAACAGGGCTGGAATCTCACCGTTCCCAGAGGTGGGTGGGCCTTGCAGCCTGGACACATGCTTGGCTCCCAGATCCAGCATCTGTGGAGCTCCCACCCTGTCCTTCCAACCCCACTCCTCCTCCTCCTCAGATGTCTCTTGTGGACTGCTAGCAGCTGATACTGCCCTGTCCCTGGTCCACCTGGGCTGCTGGCTTCTGCCCGGTGGATGACAGAGTATGGACCAGGCTGCTGCTTGCCCTTTGGGGGGATCTGGTCCTGGGCCTCGCTTTGCTACATACTTGTTGCAGATCCATTTATGTATTATGGTTTCTGTTTACTTGTCCCTATATTGGGGACACAGAGGGTGCAGCCCATCAGGAAGAATGTTGGTTATGAAGTCAAGAAGAGACCAAGGTTTGCCCTGGCTGGTGTGGCTCAGTTGTTGGAGCATCGTCCTGTGCACCAAAAGGTGGCAGGTTCGATTCCGGGTCAGGGTGCGTGTGGGAGCCAACCAAACGATGTTTCCTTCACTTTCTCCCTTCCTCTCTAAAATAAAAAAATTCTAAACTCACTTTGTTTAAAAAAAAGGAGACCAAGGTTCAAGTGCAGGCTTACTGTCCCTTCTCTCTGACCCATTCCTTATAGCAAAGTCTGAGGCTGGCGTCTGAGTAAATCCTGGAAGTCCTGTTAACCTGCCCTGCCCATGTTGAAATGGCTTGGATTCCTGTGGCTGAGACTCTTTCTGGAAGGCCTAGTGGGAGCACCAGCGCCACCTGGTGGCCAGGCGCAAGGATGCAGTCTGGGGTTCCCTGTATTACAGAGGAACCTGGAGGCCCTGATCTGGCTCACATGGCTGCTGAGTGGTGGGGCCCAGGTCGTCTGAAGCCAGGTCTACCAGCCTGGATCCAATCAATGGCAAACACCCTTTCCGTTGAGGAAAGGGCAGGGCCAAAATGCATGACTCTCTGTGATGACCAGCCAACCGCTTCCTCTTGGGGCCCCAGTCCTCACCATCATGGGCCAGCACAAGCCCTGCCACTTGTCATTCAACTGCATGGCATCAGCGAAGAGGAAGAAGAGGGCCAGCAGGAACTCCAGCAGGGGCGCGGTGAGGAAGGCAGATGCTGAGGACGCCACATAGCAGACAAAGGTTATGAAGGAGAGACCCTGGGTGGGAGGGAAGGAGAAATCAGAACCTTTGCACAGCCCCTCACCCAGTGCTCCCTCTGAACCACCCTGCAGTCAAGAATAGAGGAGGCTCCAGTATAGAAGGCCACCTGCCCTCAGTTCCGTAGCTGCTAGGTTTAGAACCTGGTCATGGGGCCCAGGCTCACACCTGTATTGCCCCCAGTATTTCTGGGCATGGCCCTGAGTCCTGACCCCATGCCAGCTCCCTATCAGGAAGACTCCGATTCCCACGTGTGTCCAGCCCCCCAGGAGGCCACCCTCTGGGGCTGCTCACCCCTACTCCATCCCAGCAGGTTCTATGGCAGAATCCACGAAATTCAGATGATGTCCAACAAGGGCTAATCAAACCTACACAGTCTCAAAGGCAGCCCACTAAGCAGGAACCAATTCCAAAAAATCACTCCCTCACAGGCTGGTGTGTTCAGTGGTTAGAGTATCGGCCTGTACACTGAAGGTTCATGGGTTCGATTCCCAGTCAAAGGCACATACCTGGGTTGCAGGTTCTATCCCTGGCCCTGGTTGGGGCACGTGTGGGAGGCAACCAATCGATGTCTCTCTATCACAGTGATTTTTCTCTCTTTCTCCCCTTCCTACCCTCCCTTCCACTCTAAAAATCAATGGAAAAATATCCTCGGGTGAGGATCAACCACAATAACAAAAAATCACTCCCAATTACAATAAGATTTGCACTTTTCACTGAATGTAATCTACCTGAAAAACAATAAATAAATCTTAAATTTAGTTAAAGATATGAGTGCTTAAGTGTTTAGAGTTGAAATGTACTGATGTCTGCAATTTAAATATATGGAACAACAAAATGGATTGGTGGATGGATAGATATGTGATAAATATAGCAATGTGTTAACAGTTGTACAATTTAGGTGATGGGTACATTGGTGTTTTTTAAAAAAATATGTTTTTATTGATTTTTTATTTTAGAGAGAGAGGGAGAGATAGAAACATCAGTGTGAGAGAGAGAAACATCGATCTGCTACCTCTTGCATGCCCTCCACTGGGGATCACGCCCACAACCCAGGCATGTGCCCTGATTGGGAATTGAATGGGGAACTCTCAGTCCATTGGGTAATGCTCAACTACTGAGTCACACCAGCCGGGCTATTGGTGTTAACGTTATAACTTTTGTGGCTTTTTAATATATTTGCAAATTTTAGTAATAATAAGAAATAAACATCCAGAAGAGGAGTGTTGAAACTGACGCTTCAGGCTCTGCTGGTCTTTGGGAGAGCTGCATTGAGGAACTAGAAGAGTGAAAATGTTCTCTGTAGCCTCGTCCATACACTGTGTGTGGGAACTGATGCTGGTGGACACCGAGGCCCCCAGTAGTTCTGCAGACTGTGTGTGCTGCAGAGTAGACCAAGGTGATAGGGCTGTGCCCTGGGCTAGTGCCCACTGAGGCTTCTGGGATCCTCACAACCACCCATGTGCCAGGACTGCTCACAGCCCACTTTACAGATGAGAAGACTGAGGTTCTGAGAGGTGAAGTGATTGCTTAGTGTCATGCAGCTAATAAGAGGCCACCAGGATTGATGCCACATATGGCATTCTTAAGCAACCCTGCCCTGTGGGTGTTTGCTTTTATCTGATTTTTGTCATTGTGCCTGGGTTTGAACATGTCCATGGCTGAATAGTTCTGAGTGGGGCCCAGGGACTAGGCCCAGGGGGCCACGCAAGGGATACCCAGATGCTCCACAGGAAGCACTGTGGTTGCTTTAGACAAATGAGCCCCAGCAAGTCCCCAAGGCACCAACGTCTGTCCTGAACATGGCTATGGGGGTAGCTAAGTCCATCTTGAACAGATGGGAAACTAGGGCACAGAGGCAGCTGAGTCTGCTAGGGCCTCCCAGGAAGGCAGGGACTCAACCCAGCCTGTGCACAGCTCCTGCTATACTTACTCTGTCATGGGCTGTTCTTGTGTCCCTCTCCTTCCTGTTCCCCACCCCCCAAAACCTGATTCTGGGGATCCCCCTCTTGATTTCTGTTTCCTCATACGACGATTCCTAGTTGCCACTTCCTCCCCATTCCTGTCCATGCCAGCCTCCCCATTTGCTTGGGCCTGGGGGCAGACTAGAGGTGACTACAGAGAGGCAGGAATGACCTGGACCAGCTCCCCTTGTAACTTCAGTGCCAACCCTTCCTTCCTCTCCATTCCTCATACTCCCATACTGAGATTCCTGACACCCAGCTATGTTCTGGGCCTCCTCTATGCTCTGGCCAGCTACCCCTTGACTGAGTAGGGTGGGTTTGGGATCCCCTCAGTGGATGGAGGATTCAAGGCTTCTCCCCAAAAGTAGCTCCTATTAATCTCTTGGGTGGGGCTGGGATGGCCAACCAGGAGGTAACCCCTTGAAGTGAGGGCTGTGGGTCCCGGGCCCTGGTGCCTCACTTTGGAGTTGGGCAGGTCCTGGGCTGGTGACCTCTGGGCTGACTCTAGGCACAGAAGAGGTGATAGGACCACCCACCACCTCCTGAGGTTGAGGCAGAATCCTCCTTCCTCAAATCCCCATCCCCCTCAGTCCTTGCCATCACTTGGCCCTCATTTGATCCACCTGTCAAACCCCCAAGATGCTCTGGCGTCAGGTTTCTTGTCATCAAAGAGGGAATAAAGACAGGGGCTGTCGAGTTGCTGGAGATCTAAGTAATAAGTGCCACCTCCCCTCATCCCGCGTCCCCTCTGCCTGGTCTCTTCCTCCTCTTCCCTCTGCGGAGGCCCAGGACCAGCCCCCACCCCACTCTCGGACAGTGCAGGAGTTTTCACAGTGTCCTGAGGACAAAGGCCTGACTGGCTCGGGTTGGGGGAGCGGGAAGGAAGAAGCTCAGCAGGGGTGGGGCGGCTGAATCTCGACCAGGAAGGGGAGGAGGGGGATGAAGTCACTCCGCTGGGCTCCGGCCCCTACTCCTCAGCCTGCGTGTCCCCCCATAATGCTACTGGGGTCCCACCCAATCTCGGGGTCCCCATCCCAGTTGGCTGGGCTCCACTCCAGCCGCTGCTCAAGGCCCGGCTGGCCCTCCCTGCACCCAGGAAAGCGGGCTAGGGCACCCCGACCCGAGGGTAGTGAAGGGCCGAGTGGGCTGATTCCTCCCGGGGCCCAGAGAGGGCAGAGGCGCCCGAGGTCACACAGCGCCGGGCCGCACTTCCAGGGGCCCAGGCGGCGCGTCGCGGGACCTCTCCTCAGGCTCCCCTACGGCCCCCAGCTTTGCACTCGCGCGCTGAAGACCTGGGAAGGCCCGGGTTCGAGCCCCGCCTGCCCACTGTCCCGAGCTCTGGGCTTCAACAAGTCCGTCCGAAACGTGGGCAAGTTTGCGCAACTAGATGGGGCTCGGGGAGGCGTCGGCTGGGCGCGTCCGGACAGCGGCCCCAGCCCCCCGGGCCCGCGAGGGGCGCCGCCCAGGGGCCGGCGGCGGGGGGCCGCGCGGCACTCACCGACTCCGCCAGCAGGAGGCGGCCTTTGAGCGAGCAGAGGAGGGCGCGAAGCCCGGGGACGGCCGCGCCGGGCTGGGAGCGGCCAGCGGGCTCGGGGTCCGGGTCGGGGTCCGGGTCTGGGGGCCACATGGCGGCGGCTGCCGGACAGGGCTCTGTCTCGCTCCCTCACCCCCGCGCCCGGGAGGGAAGCGGAAACCCAGACTGTGCGGAAGGAGAGAAAGGCCAGGCGAGCTCGGCGCAGGGGCGCATCCCCCGCCGCCCCGCCCCCGTCCCGCCTCTCCTCCTGCCCCCTCCTCGGCTCCTGCCTTCCTCCCCCTCTTCCGCCCTCGATCCTTCTCCTCCCGTCCTCCCCTTGGACCCCGGCTGCCCTGTCCCGGGACCCGCCGCGGTGCTGGCCTGGGGTTTCCCCATACTCCTCACATTCTCCTCTCACCTCTGTTCTGGAGGCTCGAGACCTTTTTGCCACCACTGAACACCCCGTCGGAGCTCCCACCCATCTGTCCTTGCCCAGAAGGGTTGTCTACACTCGCTGTCTCTACACACGAGCTTCTTCATGCTCATGCACAGGTCCGGGACCCAGAACCCTAGGCGCCCAAACAGCAAGACTCCTTAGTCTTCCTGCGGCTGTGACCCCTGTCAGCTTCCCAGCCCCCTCACGCTGTTTCCGCCCCCTGCACTCGTTTATTCCGATGTGCTCCCACACCTCTTAACCTATACACAACACAACACACACACACGCCCACGTCCACGCACATGCACGTTTTCAGGGCGTCAGGAGATCAGTGTGACCAAGACCAGCCCATGACATTCTCGCTGTTCCTGGGCTTCTGCGAGGGCCACTGCCGTCCATCTTTCCACCCCAAGAGCCAGAGCCTGGGGGTTGTCCCTGTTCTCCCTCAGCCTCACCCTCACCACGAAGGCTGCACATCTTTACTTCTTAAATTGTTTTCATCTCCTTCAACTTCTCAACCACCACCAAGGCCTCAACTAGATCCCAGGTCACTCCTATCTCCTCCTTGCACAGTTCTGAGGAAGCAGAACTCAATTTCCTCTCCTGGCAGCCAGAGGGATGCTTAAATCCTCCATAACTGTCACCTTCATCTCCTCACCCCAAAAACCTTGGGAGCTTTCTATTTTGCTCAGGCTCTTGGTATAGGGCAAAACATAACCCTTTGCTGCCTCTCTTCCCTGTCTATTCCACCCATCTGCCTTCTTACAGTTTCTTAAAGAAAACAGGCTCCTTTCTGCAACAGGGCCTTTGCACATGCTATCCCCTCTGCTTGGAATGCTCTTTCTCCACCTCGCTATCTGATCAATTCTTTAGTTTTCTGTAATCATAATGCAGTATCATTTCCGCAGAGAAGACTTTGCTGACCTCTCCTGCTAGATAAGAGGCACTCATTTGCTCGTTCATTCATTCAACAGCAGAGCTAGAAGCTCAAGATGTGGGGAAGCCCCAGCTATTTGGGGGTGTGTGGGTAAACACTAACGGTGTCCAGAGGATCCTGAATAAGATGGTTGCTGGTAATAGATGTCTGGCAGGTTCAGAGGGCGGCCAGGCAGCCTGTGTGGAAGAAAGGACTGAGCTAAGGACCAGTGGGAGGAGATAGATTGTGAAGACCCAGGCCCTGGTGTTTGGGATTTACCCCAAATTTCCTGGGAGGAGGCCAGGTAGGGGTTAGAACAGAGGACTGCCTGGTTCTAATCTGTTAAAATGTGGCTCAAAACTGCAACTCAATATAAGAAAACAACCCAGTTTTAAAAAGGGGCCAAAGATTTGGACAATTTAACAAAGGTGTATGAACATCCAATAAACACATGAAAAGATGCTCAACATTATGACATCTAGGAATGCAAATTAAAGTCACAATGAGATACTACTCTGCACCTATTAAAATGGCTTAATAAAAAGGGACACTACTATTTAAATGCGGGTGAGGATGTATAGGAGGTAGAACTTTCATATAGCGCAGATGGAGTGGAAATTATTAACATCACTTTGAAAGACAGTTTGGCCATTTCTTAAAAAGTTAAACAACCCTGGCTGGTGTGGCTTAGTTGGTTGGAGCGTCATCCTGTCGTACACTTGTTTTGAAGGGGCATCTGCTTGCAGTCTGTGGTGACCACATCCCTGTCCCAGTCCCCTTCTCAGCATGACAGGTGGCTGCCTCAAGTCCTCCTCAGCTCTAACCCAGACCTGCTTCATGCTTTCTCTGTCTGGGTTTGGAAAAACTTGCCTGTTTCAGAAAGCTGCCCCCAAGGGTGAGAGGAGTGGCTACACAAAAGAGTTTAACAAGGTCCACCCTTTTCCACTGGATTCTGAGCAGTCATATATACATTTTTAGGTAAAATTTGCATATAGTGAAATGCACAGATATAATATACAGTCAAAGTTTTGACAAATGTTTACACCTGTGTAACCAGTTCCCCAAATAAAGAGTTAAAACTTTCTCATGCCACCCAAAGTCCCCTCATGCTCCTTTGTAATCAATCCCCATCCTCCAAATCCCAAGACAACCACTGTTCCCATTTCTTTTACTATATTTACCCCTGTTCTTAACTTCATAGTAATGGAATCATATGGTATGTCCTTTTGGGTCTGGTTTCTCAATACTATGTAAGATTTATTATGAATCTTTTACTTTTATCACTATTCATCATCATGTATCAGTACCTTGATTTTTGTTGTTGAGCAATACTCTATTGCGTGAATGTAGCAATGTACCTCCTTTTAAACATTTGGTCTATTTTTAGCTTTTGGACTATTATTAACATTCTAGTACATCATTCCTCTTGGATAAGTATCTAGGAGGGGAATTCTGGGCCATACAACAGGATAGTGTACATTTTTTAGTTTTTTTCTAGAAAACCCTGTAGGTTTTCACTTTTAGTAGGATTGCCAGCAGGGGGTGGACTTGAAGGGTAGAGATGCCTTGGGTAGGGCCCACTGCCTGCTTGCTGTCCCAAGTTCCAGCTATTTCTGCTTCACCAGGGACCTGCTCCAGCTGCCCATCTTCCCCACCTGCATGACAGGCAGCTACCTCCTTTTCAGCAGTGGCCAAATGTGTCATTTCCTCCCAGTGGAAGTGGACCGTGCCACTTCCTTGGCTTCAGGGATTTCTGTGGCACTTAGGACAGAGGCCAAATTCCTTACCATGGCAGACAAGGCCCAGCTGACTCTCCCCACCTGTCTCTTACATTGTCCCTGGCTGGTCTCATCCCCCCCCCCCCAATACAGATTCTCATGCATAAATTTGGGACCTCACTTTTCTTTCATGAGAATGACACTTCTCCTGCCAGAGTGGCTTGACTGTCCAGTAAGAGTGAAGCCCTGACCCCAGGCTTGTGTGTGGGAACCGTGGCTCTGGGACACCTCCGAGACTGGCTCAGGGCTTATGCTCATGTCTTCACTGGACAGGGATGCGGCAGTTCCGATGGGACTGGCTGGCCATCTCTGCAACAACCATCCACTCAAATTTCTCCTGTACCCATCCTGTTTGGCCCACACTCCAGCCTGACTCTGGCTCTTAGGCAAGGCCCCGAACCCTGAAGAGTTGCCACCCCCCTTGTCACTCTCCTCCAGAGGGTGCTTCAAATGAGGACTAATACTAAATTGCAAAGAAAGAATCAGGAAGGCCAGCAACCTTATTTCTCTCATAGCAACTACCTGGATGCTTTTTAAAAATATAAAATAAAAATATCAATGTGGCCCTGGCTGGTTTGGCTCAGTGGTTGGAGTGTCAGCCTGTGGACCATAGAGTCGCAGGTTCGATTCCAGTCAAGGGCATGTACCTTGGTTGAGGTTCATCCCCCATGGTCAGGGTCCTGCAGGAGGCAACCAATCGATGTGTGATGTCGCTCTCTCCCTCTCTGTCTCTCTGTCTCTCCCTCCCTCCCACCCACTCTATCTGGAGATAAATGGAAAAATATCCTCAGGTGAGGAAATAAATACATACAAATAAATAAATATCATTGTGGCCCTAGCCGGTCTGGCTCAGTGGTTAGAGTGTTGGCCCGCTAACCAATGAGTCTCGGGTTCAATTCCAGTCAAGGGCACATACCTCTGTTACGGTTCATCCCCAGCCCTGGTCGGGTTGAGTGGGAGGCCACCAGTCGATGTGGCTCTATCACATCAATGTTTCTGTCTGTCTTTCTGTCTCCCTCTCTCCCACTCTATCTGATAATAAGTAGAAAAATATCCTCAGGTTAGGAATAAAAAAAAAGTGAAAATAAAAATGCATCCTTTTGTTTTCCGATCTCTCCTTTTCTTCTGGCCCCTTTAGCTGGTCAGTGTCAACAGCCAGCATCACCCACACTCTGGTCCCCAAAACCCTCTGGTGCCCTGTCACCTGTGAGTACCTTAAGAGGCCCAGCTCTGGCCTCAGTATCTGTACCAAAACTTTCGGTAACTTCGGTTGAATGAACAAAAAATCCATTTAAAGAGAATTCTTTTCCAAGTAGAGGTGGTTATTTAAGTGGAAAAGATAATCATTGGGAAAGAAGACAAGGAAGACAGTGGAACTATACTTCGTTGTAAAATACACTGCCATGTCTGACAACAGGTGTCTTCTTCATGTCATTTCTTGCCTCCCTTCCCCTTATCCTTTGGCTTTGCTGCTGGTGCTCCTCCTCCTCCTGCTGCTGCCGCTGGTTTTGCTTCTTCCTTTGGCTTTGCATCTGGCTCTTCCTTTCTTGGAGGAGGAACCAGCACATTCCTTTTGACCTTCTTGCCTCTGAAGTGTTTTCTTTGAAGACATATATCGATTAAAGGAAAAAATGCCGCCACACCAATAAGGACCTAGAAAACAAAAGCAGCCTTATTACTTTTGCTTTTCATTCCAAAGCTGGCATGTTTCTAATTTGTTTCCTGGTTTCTAATTTGTAAGTAGGTGCTGTAAAACACATCCCTTTGTCCCCTCAAAGGACCAGACCCCAGAGACTGCATTTCCCTCCCCCACTGCCCTGTCATCCCACCGCTTCTCTCTCTCTTTAAACCCAGCCTGGGTGGGGCCTTTTGCCTCTGGGTCAGCAGCTATGAGGAGGAAACCATTAACTTGGCTGGCTCCCTAGACATCATCTTTATTATAATGGCTTCTCCACTGGGAACATTTATCAGCTTTACTTTCTTTCTTTCTTTTTTTTTAATCATCCTCACTCGAGGACATTTTTCCATTCTTTGTTCAGATAGAGTGGGAGGGAGAGAGAGGAACAGAGAGAGAGAGAAACATTGATGTGAAAAGGACACATCGAGTGGTCGCCACCCGCACAACCAACCAGGGCCGGGGACAAACTGCAACCAAGGTACATGCCCTTAGCGGGAACCGAACCCGGGTCTCTCTGGACCGCAGGCCGACGCTCTAACCGCTGAGCCAAACCGGCCAGGGCTATCAGCTTTACTTTCAAACTTTGCTTGGATCTCAAGATTCTGTGAAAAGAAAAGAAGCCCTGGCATTCAAATGGGTGAAAACACCCTTTCTCCAAAAAGAAGTAATTTCTGAACAAATAGCCCAACAAGGGAGACTCACCACAGCAATAAAGTAGTTCATTGGCATAGTTTGTCGATTTTGTACAGCAAAGATCACAGCCCCCACCAGGAAAATCGTGGCAAACAGGTCATTGAGAAGGTCCTGAAAGCATGGAGAATGTGTGTTAGCCTGAAACAGAGCCAAGGCCTCGTTGACACCCACCCTAGCATAGCTTCCTCCAAAGAAAATATATATTTGAGAGAGAGAGAGAGAGAGAGAGAGAGAGAGAGAGAGGTGATAAAGAATGTTGATTGGTTGGGTGAGTCCATTCTTATAATTCTTTTTATTCTTCCATATGATTTTTGAATCACCTTGTAAAGTTTCATGAACAACCTCTGTTAGGATGAAATCTCGTTTAATTTATAGATTACCCTGGAAATAAATTGCCATCTTTATGATAGTAACTTCACATCTGTGAATGTGGTATATTTCTCCATATTTTTAGGGTTCTCTTTTGTGTCATTAATAAAATATTATAATCTCTATACAAAGTCATACACATCTTCGAGCAGGTTTATTCTCAGATACCTAGTAGTCTGTTATTTTAAATGTTTGTTTTTGAAAAGCCACATTTTCTCATTGTTTGTTGCTGGTATTCAGGAACACTATTGTTTTGTCTCTGGTAATCTTGTGGAACTCAAATCAATTCTTGTAATTGGACTGTAGATTCTCTTGGATTTTCTGTGTAGAGAATCAAATGATTTGTGAGTAATGCTCGATTTTTCCTCTTTCCAATCCGTATACCTTTGTTTTTCTTGTTACATTGTACTGATTCAGATCTCCAGCAGGATGCCGGATAGAAATGAGGACAGTAGTTATCCCTAAGGAAATGCTTTTAAAGTTTTACTGTGAGCCCAGCCAGTGTGGCTGAGTGTTGATCGTCCACCCATGCACCAAGAGGTCACTGGTTCAGTTTCAGGTCAGGGCACATGCCCAGGTTGCCGGCTGATCCACATTGGCAGGAGGTGGGAGGGTGGGGGTGGTGGTGCAGAAAGCAGCTCATTGATGTTCTCTCTCATCCATCTATCATTCTATTTCTCTCCCTCTCCCTTCCTCTCTCTCTAAAAACAATAAAGAAAAATATTAAAATAAAATAAAGTTTTACCATGAAATGAAATGTTTATTATAGCTTTGAGTGGATACCTATTATTAAAATAAGTAAGTTCCCCTTTTTCCTAATTTGCTGAGTTTTCTAAAAATAAGTATTAAATATTACTAAGTAGTTTTTCAGCAGCATAGGAGATGATAAAATGGTTTTCTCCTTTAAATGAAAGATGGTAAATTATATTAGTAAAATTTTGAAAACAAAACCATCTTTACATTCCTGGCTCACACCCTGCTTGATCATGATTTATTGCTTGCTTATACATTGCTGGATTCAGTTTGCTAATATTTTATTGAGGATTTTATGGCCACATTCAAATAAGATAGGCCTATAGTTTACTTACCTTACAATGTCTGGTTTTAAGATCAAAGCCCCACCAGATAGTACAACATATTTTAAAGCCTTTAGAAAAGAGAGAGAGAGGAAGAAAAAAGGCCAGACCAATGGAACTGAATATAAAGTGTCCAGAAATGAACTCTGTATATGGGATTTAGTACTTTAACAAATATGCCATTTGAAACCAGTACAGAAGAGATGTACTATTCAATAAACAAATAAATCAAGTGATAGACTGAAACAACTAGATAGCCATCAGGATTTAAAGCTGGAGCCATGGTTCACACCATATACCAAAATGACTCCAGACGAATCAAAAGATTTAAATGTAAAAAATTAAACAAGTGCCAGATGAAAATATGAAAGAATTACTTTATAATCGATTTTTCTATTTCTTTTTGTGTTAATTTTTTATAGGTTATATTTTTTCTAGGAAAGTAACTATCTAAACTTTCCAATTTATTGGCATGAAAGTTTATATTTTCCTTGGGATTTTTATAAGTTCTTCATCTTTATACTAACATTTTCTTTGTTTCTTTCTTTAAATAAAGACCTGGAGAAAAACTGGAGATCTATTTACTAGACATTTGGTTTTATTTGTCCTTACTATGCATTTTCCCCCTACATCATTAATTTTAGCTCTATCTTTGGCATTGCCTTCTTAATTCCATTGTTTTGTTTTGGTACCTTCTTGAGATAGACACTTGAACTGTTAATGTTCAGTCTTCTTTTCTAATTATATAGATTTGAAATTGAGTTATTTAGGTGCATTCTACAGGTAGTATTTGTAAATACTATATATAACTAAATCTCCATATGTTTAGGGAAAATATTGAATTCCTCAACCCCAAGCACATGAGCATCTAGTTAAATTTTACGGATTCATTTATAATTATATTGCATTGACATTAGAGAATGTGGTCTGTCAATTCCTTGTTTTTTGTTTACATTTGATTGTGGTCTTATTGAAAATATTATTTATTTATTTATTTATTTATTTATTTATTTATTTATTTAATTTTTAATGTCCCAGATACACAGCTGTGGACAGGTTATTCTAAACAAACAAACAAACAAAAAACAGAAAAAGAAAAAGAAAAAAAAGACAGAAAAGCGAGGATATAATTTTAATGATTGTTTCAAGTGGGCTTGAATAGTATATATAACCTGTTACTGTTTGGTGTAGGATTCTATCTATTCTATATTTCAGTGGACCCAGCTATCAATTACTTAGGGAGGCATGTTAAAATTTCCTACTATGGTTGCTATTTGCCAGTTCTTCCTTATAATTAAGTTCACTTCTGTCTTTTATTTTTTGGGCTATATTGTTAGATGCATACAAGTTCAGAACTGCTAAAGGTAATGATCTTTTTTTTTTCCTCACCCGAGGACATTTTTCCATTTTTTGTTCAGGTAGAGTGGGAGGGAGAGAGAGGAACAGAGAGAGAGAGAAACATCGATGTGAAAGGGACACATCGAGTGGCTGCCACCTGCACAACCGACCAGGGCCGGGGACAAACTGCAACTGAGGTACGCGCCCTTAGTGGGAACCGAACCCGGGTCTCTCAGGACCGCAGGCCGACGCTCTAACTGCTGAACCAAACCGGCCAGGGCAGTAATGATCTTCTTTATGTACCTTTTTAAAAACATAAAATTGGTATACAGTGTAATCTGGTATTAAAGTTATGCCATCTTTCTTTCAGTTAGTTTTTTCGTCGTATTGTTGTTTCCATCTCTTATAACCTTTCTCCACATGCCTTGTATATTGCTGGATTTAAAAATATCTGTCCTGATACAGAGAAACTTTGAGCTTTGATGGACCATGAACTACCCACTAGTCACAAAGCTAATGAATGTCTGAGACAAGATACACATGAAAAAGCCTGCATTTAGATTTGTACTTTGGAGGTCGAAAAAATGGCGGCAGAGTGAATGGAAGCTACACAGACCATCTCCCAGAACCAAACTGGAATTACAACTATAATACAGACAAATCGTCGGGAAAAACCAACAGAAAAGCAGCTTGCGAGGACCATATAACCAGGGACACTGACTCGATCCTGGTAGGATTGCGAAGGCGCGAGAAGGGACCTGGGAGGCCACAGTCAGCAGCTCGGCAGCAGCCTCAGCTGTGAGCAGCACCCTCGGGTTACACTCCCAGGCGGCTCCACAGCGCAGAGCCGGGACAGAGGCTAAAACAGCCACAGCCACTCACCTTGGGCTCCAGCAGAAGGAGGGCGGACTGGACTGGAGCTGTGTTGGACACTCGGGATTTGGAGGGCACTCAGAGCTTTTGCTGAGTGCAGCCACGCAGGAGGGTGGCCATATTGCTCCTTCCCAGGGTTCTGGGGAGAGGCAGCGACCCCTCCCTCAGAGATCCAACCCCAGCCTGTGGGCCATTGAAATGCTAATTGAAGCTCTTAACAAGCAGCATCTGCTCCACCCTCATGAAATCCCCTTCTGAGCACGTGAGGGAGGTTTTCAATCAACTGACAACCCAAAACTCATCAAGTAACCTCGACTGCTAGCCTCCAAGCAAAAAGCTAGAGGATAACAGTACCTTTCCTGGGCTAGCAACTTTAACCAGGAAAGTAAGACTTGACAGTGGTGTTTAACGTGGGGCCGCGCTCGCTCATCTAAACCCAGGAGAGGGAGCCACAAACAGCAGAACACCAACACCCACAGGGAAAACTTGCAGGCTCCAAAGCCCACAGGGATAGCCAAAATGGTGAAACACAGAAACAGAAGCCAAATGAAAGAGCAAGAGACCTCCACCGAAGATGAGATTAATGTGGAGCAATTAGGCATGTTAACAGAGCTAGAATTCAGAGCCACGATCTTGAGGAAGCTCAACAGCATGAGCAAGGACATAGACATGCTGAAAATAAGCCAATTGGAAATTAAAAACCATCAAGAAAAGATAAAAAATGACATATCAGAAATGAAAAACACATTGGAAGGTTTAAAAAGCAGAGTTGAGGAAACTGAGCACTGGATCAGTGAATTCGAAGACAGGGTAGAAAAAATGAACAATCAGAAAAACAAAAGGAAAAAACGATTGAAAAACAGGAAGACAGCATAAGAGAACTGTGGGACAACTGGAAACGTAATAATATACGCATCATTGGAGTCCCCGAAGAAGAAGAAAATGAGCAAGGGATAGAGAATATATTCAAAAAAATAGTGACAGAAAACTTCCCTACATTGGTGAAGGAAGAAGGCATTCAAGTTCAAGAAGCACAGAGAGTCCCAAGTAAAAAGAACCCAAACAGGCCCACACCAAGACACATAGTAATTAAAATGCCACAAATTAAAGACAAAGAGAGAATCCTAAAAGCAGCAAGAGATAAGCAACAGGTTACCTACAAGGGAAAACCCATAAGGCTCTCAGCTGACGTCTCACAAGAAACACTACAGGCCAGAAGGAAATGACATGAAGTAATTAAGGTCATGAAAAACAAGAATCTGAATCCAAGACTACTCTACCCAGCAAGGCTATCATTTAAAATAGAAGGTCAAATAAAGAGCTTCCCAGACAAAAAAAGGCTAAGGGAATACATTAGCACCAAACCAGCACTGCAAGAAATGTTAAAAGGACTGCTGTAATTAGCAGTAGAAATGGGAAGAAAAATAGAACCACACTAAACAATAAATAAGTACA